ATACTGTTCCTGGCCTGATGATGATGATTACTTTTCCTTTGATTCTAATATTATTACTTCCAAGGAATTTGACTGCTAACCAGAAGGCTGGCAGTTCAAATTCACCAGCCACTCCTTGGAAAGAAGGTGTGCAATCTACTTCCATAGTTATACAGTCTCAGAAACCCAAGGAGGGATCGCTGGGAGTCAGATTTGACTTGACGACAATGAGTTTGGTTTGGTTTTCGGTTTAGTCTTTAAGGATTACCTTTTGTTCTAAATATAAGAATAATATATCACACAGTACATTCTAGTTTTAAAACATTCTTCACCTTCTGTCATAGCATTAAATCTTTTTTGAAATATCCGTGAGGTAAAATAGGAGGTGGAATTTTTCCTATTTCACTGATGTGGAAATCAAGTCAATGAGAAGTTGCTTCAGATGCCAAAGACAGACACCTGGGCTACCAAAAAGATGGAAGGGGCTCAGCAGCCTTTTACCAGTGTAGTAAGTCTTTCTCTCATGCGAGGGGATGATTCTATCTTTATTTACAAGCAACTGATCTTCTCTGAGGCCAGACAAGGCTGGTAAGCAGCTCTAAGAATGACAACCCTTGAGACGAAAACGTGTCTCTTTCATACCTCTCCACAGAGACTGAAGTTCTGACCTCTGACCTCTGACCTCTGACATACATTTCTATCTGACTGTGATCTCTGCCAACACTTGCTGGTGCTTATTTTCAAACAGGTGTCCCTCAAAGTTCCTCTTTTATGGACCTTTCCCAAATTTTATGTGTATGTATAATGATATTAGATTAGTAGACCAAGACAGTGTTTTAAGTATGTGGTTGTCTTCAATGGTGGAATACTACTTTAAATAATCATTTAAAAATATACATGTAGTAACATATCTTTCTAAGTGTCTATCCATCAATCCAGAATGCTTTATTATGTCCCTTGGTCCAGTTGTATGTGGATTACTTGTGATTTCACTAGGCAAGAATGTACAAGAAACCAATCCTTATGTGAAAACCAGGTTTATTGATTTAACTGGTGTCAGTGACAGGTAAGAAGTGACTTTAAAATAAAAGAATAAATTCTATAAAACAGTACAATTGAAAAATAAAGTCTGGAATGAAACTACCTTAGTTCACACTCTGGCTACATCACTTCCTAGTTGTTCGACCTTTACTTACCCAAGCTGCTCCAGTTTCCTCATCTGTAAAACAAGGATAATAACAATACTGACTTCATGATATTCTTGTGAGAATTAAATGAGTTACTTCATGGAAAACACTTAAGACATTACTTGGCACACATACCCCCCTCCAAAAAACAAAACCAAAAAAACAGTTCCACTATAGTTGATTCCAACTCATGGTGACGTCATGTGTTTTAGAGTAGAATGGTACCCCATAGAGTTTTCAAAAGCTGTGACTTTTCTGAATTAGATCACTAGACCTTTCTTCCAGGGAGCCTCTGAGTGGATTCCAACCACCAGGCTTTCAATTAGGAGCAAAGCACATAACCATTTATGCCACCCTGGGATTCCCTGATATCCATAAGCACTCAGTAAATTTTAGCTGCTATTATTACTAAAGGAGCTCTGGGAACCCAATTTGGGTCACTATGAGTCAGAATCAACTCAATGACAGTGGCTTTTTTTATTATTATGGTGGTGATGACTAATATTATTACAACAACTACTGCTACTATTATTTTATTACTAATATACTATCTTTTTTGAACCTAATTCACAACATAAATTTGATGTGTGAATGATAAATTTTTCTGCGCATACATTTACCTAATTAAATGATTTTGAACTTCTATTTATTTAATCAGGAGTCTCAATGTTTTAGGAAGTATAAAAGTGACCAAAATACTTGTAAGATTTCTTGAGAAATATAAAAGAAATGCTAATGAGACATTAGAGGAAAAATCGAATGGACTAGATACATGTACATATGAGCCTATCTGCATTGCACATGCAGGCAGGCTGTGCCTCATACTTCCTGGTGGCCATAACACTGTAGGAGTAAGACACATACATCCCCTGGCATCAGCCATCCTGTGGGTGCTGTGTTCATCTATGATCAAGCTGGACACACTAGACACATAAAAAACCCATAACCAAACTCACTGCCATCAAGTTGGATCCGACGCATAGTGACCCCTCCTTGGGTTTCCAAGGCGGTAGCACTACGGAGTAGTGTTGGCAAAATGAAAATCATCACTGTTATTTATAGAGAGCAAGGAGTAAGAAATAACAGCAGATTCTTGAACAGAGAACCACTTACCTTTCCCCAGATTACCCATGTCTATTCTTGGGTCTTTTGGAAGACATGCTGTGCTTCAGGTCAGATACAGTGTTCATATCACCCTGCCTCCAGCTACCATCATACTACCTGAGGCTTCTACTCTGCCACTCAGGCTCCCTCACTCTGCTGCTAGACCCTTCTACAGCCTCTGCTGCTGGCTCCTGCCAAGGTACAATTGCCTATCGGCCTCTCTTGCGACAGTGCTATGCAAGCTCCCACTACACAGGGGAGAGGTGTACATCCACTGGCTGGGGCACACTCAGGCCTCTTTTGCTCTCTACAAGCAAATATTACAGCTCTCTTAGCTCCACTGGCAAGCCTTCTGTCTAGAGGAATCTGGTTCCATCCTACCATGGGAGAGCACCTACATAGGATCCTCTGAGGCACCCCCTGCAAAGGCACATTCAACCCTCTGGGGTTGGGATGGGAAAGTGTTATATAGCTCCTTTAGCTCCACCAGCAAGCCTCCTACCTGAAGATGTTCAACTCTCACTCCATGGGCTTGCAAGCCCACCACAGCCACCTCATCCATAAGCCAGCAAGCTGACTATGGCCACCTCACTCCATGGACAGCAAGCTCACCATCTCTATGTCTCTCCATCTCACATCTTCAGTGTTATAGCTCTTTCTTCTTGGTGTCAGTGATTCTCAGCTCAGGGATCCCAGATCCGAAGGAAATGCTCCACTCCAGACACTTCATAATCATAGTGAGGTCCCCTTGACCTCTGCAGTATTGCCCTTGTCCAACCAAACTCTCTGTCAATTTCAAGGTGGCTCTCCAACCAGGACCACAAGCTGACCAATCCCCTCAGTGAACTTAAAATACTCAGTTTGCATCCAGTCCTTTCAGAGGACTTCAAGTCTCTCAATTTGCATAGTAATCTGTCCAATCCCATACATGATTGTGTTCCAGACAATCATTTTTGGAGCATTAGAAGCGTGACTAGAAAGACCATATGAAAGCAATTCACTGCCCCACAATAGAAGAGCAAAAGTAATCTCTGATGCAGACAGGGAACTTTGAAAGAAGAGGACGAAGGGGAAACACACACACACACAAACACACACACACATTTGAAATGAGAAGAGTAAATGAAATACTATAGACCTAGTCAAGTGTTGGTTATGGATAACTGACAATTAGAAATAAATATGAAAGAGCCTAACCTACAAATTATGTGTTACTACCATGAGCAGTGTAGTGCATACAGATATTGGGGACATGAGTTAAATAGACTGAACCAGTACACTAAATGCTATCATGATGGAAACATTTCATATACTCATTACCTGAGATATTTTCTCAATTTTAAAAGTCACAGAGAGACAGAATACACTAGAAACAAAAAGTACTGAGAAACTATGTCTAGGTATAACTTCAGAATGGCTTCGTGGCAATGGGAGCCAAAGGTTAAATTACCACCACTCTTTAGACACCAACAGCTATTATATGTGGCTCTCTGAAAAGTTCAGTCATTGGACTTAATAACCATTTTGTCTGAGAAGTAGCTTTGAATTTTCTTTACACCAAATATGTTGTTATTTTATTAATTACTGTTAGTATCTGTTAAAATGAAGGATTTTTTTTAGCTACAAATAATTAAAAAACAAAAAACTCCATGTTCTTTCACAACATTATTTCCCATGCCTGCTTACTGTTCCTTTCTATTGAACCAAAGTTGTAAACCATATACATACATATATACATATATAATTTTTTCCTTTTTAAACTCAGTCCCATTTTTGCAGGCCATTTTGGTTGACTCCAAGTATGCTCCCAGCCTTGTAAGTGAAAACTTACTTGCATCCATAGTTAGTTAGTTCCTCAGGAAATTCAAGTTAAGAAATGTTTCTACATTACCTAGAATTATTTTATGCATTTTAAAAGCCTCATTCTGTATAATTCATATTGACTGGAAGAAAGAGAACTTTTTTTTTTTTTTTTTTTTTTTTTAAGTAAGATCCGTCTGAACCTAAAGCAAGTTTCCAAAACGGTTGTTTTTAACATTGTTATACATGTCACTCAGGTAGCCTCTGATGCCTTTTTGTTCCTATTGTAGATTAGCTTGAACACTAGAAAGCACTTTCCCTCATCTTCCCTATACCTGTATACTTCTCTCAAGAAAGGTCATGATTTTTGAAAAATGTTAAAAATATTATTTAATGGATTTAATTATAAAACCATAATCTTAGCTTCTTTATCTGAATAGACTGGTTATATTATAATATTTGTAGTTATTGTGGAATATACGTTTTTAAAAAACTTATTTCTTAAATGAGGAGCTCTGGTAGCATAGTGCCTAAGGCACTTGACTACTAACCAGAAGGCTGGTGGTTCAAACCCACCAGTCACTCCTCAGAAGAAAAGTTGGGCAATCTATTTCCGTAGTGATACTACCTTGGAAACCCAAGGCACATAACAACAGCAACAACATTTCTTAGATGTAGTCATTCATATCAGCATTTCCTAAGTTCTTCTGTTTCAAAGGATCTCTTACTGATTTTCCTTTATTCCAGAAATTAAAAATCAAAAGTTTTAAAATAAACTTAATGCAATTCATCTTTTTTAAAAAAATAGTGAATTTTCTTTATTATTGTGAAGGTTTTTTTTTTTAAAATCAATGTTTTGTTTCTAAAGTATTTTACCTTTTCTATATTATAATTTTGTCCTTTCAAGGCATTTAATATGCTCTCTTTTAGTCCCTGTAGAAATGCTGGAAAAGAATTTGAAGCAGATGGGAAGGCAGCTTCAACAGCTTGAGAAGGATTTGGAAACCTTTCCCCCTCCTGAGGACTCACATGACAAGTTTGTGACAAAGATGTCCATATCCTTTTGATATCTAAATAACTTAAGTCATCAGTCAACTAGAATTACAGTTTACTTAACATGTTAGGTATATTTGCATAACCAGAGATCATTCTGTAGTGCCAAACTGTACAAGGTATAAACCCGTTGCCTGATTGCAGGGAAATTTATCAAGGTCTTTTAAGTATCATGACTAATACACAATGTATTTCTATTGAGTTACCTTTTTTCCTTTTTTTCAACTTGGATAATATATTCTCTCACCCTTTTCTTTCCATATGCTTTATTTCCTTCTAACAATGTTGGCAAATAGAATATTAAAGCTGAATTTGATTGAGGAAGTTTGGCTCTAAAGTCATGTTGTGATTTAGGTAATTTAAAAATGTTTCAGGAAGCAGACAAAAACTTTATAAACTGGTGTGCCTAGTCAGCTTAATTTGGAAGGTTAGTTTATATTAGATATTAACTCATGTTTCAGAAAATTTAATATTTTCTTTAGAAATTCTGCATAGTTCCGAAATCAAAATTGAGTTCACTGCTATCAGTAGTTGTGTTCTCCAGACCCAAAATCAAACACACACACACACAGACACACACACACTCATTTTTATTTAATAGCATGAGGCTATGTCCTTTGGTTTAATTTAAGGTTTCCTTTGTATTCAATTATCTTTGCTATCACTAACTTTGTAGCTTAATCTCTAACGAGTTACTGAAGTAATAAACATTCTTATTTCCTGAAACTAATGTTGAGTTGCTTTGCAAACCATTCTGTGAAATTAGAGACTGATATCTTTTGTGTTGTAATAAAGTATTACTACTATGCATTATGAAAATCCCAGATGGACTTTTGAATTCTATATGAAAGCATAACCCACTTTTAAAATGAACTCTTATAAATACACATTGCTAATATTTTATTTTAAACCAAGGTACTTGAAATAAAATGACTATTTTTCTTCTATCTCTTCTCCCTAGAGATTTGGTGAATCAAGATTATTACTTGCTTTATCATAGATTTTATTGTATACACTTTTATCTTAATTGTGAATTAGTTCAATTTTAGTTCCTTCACTGTCTCTTTTGGGAAATATCCAAAAATGCATTCCAGCAACAATCAATTCAGGCTAATGTGTTTGTTGCCTTCAGTTGCCTTTGTTGCCTTTAGTATGTTTCCTACCCATCGTTTCCTCCTTTATTAGGCAGAGTGCCTTTATTGCTAGACCATTTTAAACATATGGGAGAAGTTGTTTGTTTTTGTTTTTTTTTGGTAAAATAAACTAAAGATGAAGTCTGTATTTATCCATCAAAAAATATTTTTACAGCACTTTTTCCTTTGACAAATCATTCCTTTTTAAAATAAATCTGTTTTTGTAGAGTTATATCAGTTTCATCATTCATGATTTTTTCCTTCAATCATTTTATCATGTTAAAATATTCATAAGTGATAGTTTATTATTTTAATCATTGAGTAATGTTAACTGAAGTACCGGTTATCATTCCCTATAGACAGAAAGCATGTTAGGAAAGGTTTTGCTGGCACACAGCTTCTGGTAATCCACTGTGAATATACTAATTATGAAGCTCTGGGTTCTGGAACAGACAACTGAAAATAAATTCCTGAGCTAGGAGTAAAGGTTGTAGAATCCTGCTCAGCAGAGAATCTCAGGACTTATCCATTCTTGTATTAATATGACACAAGAAGCTGAATGATTTCGGCTTCTTGAAAGGTATGCAGCTCATAAAAAGCAACCAGCAGGAAATCAGAAACAGGAAGGATGATGCTTTGCTGGAAACAATTTTTCATTCTGAGTACAATTATACTCCATGGACAAGAAAGCTACTACATCCTGTCGCTAAATATCACAAACTAGAAGCCTCTAATGAACTGATTAGCATTCATGTATCTGTTGGAAGTCAGATATATGAACAGTTGGTGCACTTTGCTATTGACAAAGCTTATAATCATAAATATTCTTTGCTGAGATTAGATTGCACTCATTTGCTTTTCATCCTAGTTAGACATACTAGTTTCAAAGTAATTAAATCCATTCATTGCAAAGCTTTGTTTACTTTGATTAGGAGTGACAACAAGTCAGATTTTGAATATTAAATGCAGTTGTACAGATCTTATTAAAATGGTAAATTGTTAGCTTCCCAAATCTTAGAAAATGCAAGAATTTAGGAACTAAAATGCACAATGAATAAAAATACGTTTAAAGTTTAGGTTATTAACAGTCAAACTTAGTCTATATTTTAAGTTTAATTGCTTGTTAGTGGAAGCACATATTAAATATTTGGTTCATCAACCAATTCTGAAAGGATATGTGTATTTCAATTTTTAAGGAGGCAGTTATACAATTACATATATGGTTTAAGCAAACATGATTTAGTGAGCAATTAACAAATATGATAATTGAATTGTTTGTAAATTATAATTGATATAATTGTTTTATAATATAGAATTTCAATAATAGCATTCAATTATAGTATAGTTTATTTTTGTATTTCTAGTGTAGACTTTTTCATTGCGTACACTTCATAATGTAAAAACATATGAGTTGAGTGAATCCTTTAAAAGGAATGCAGAATTATTTTATATATAATGCATTGACTTCTTGATAATTAGGATACTTTTCAATTGTTGAATCTGGTACAAATGTAATTAGAGTGTAATACTTTCACAGTAATATATGCTTGAAAAATGCATAACACAAATTTGAGTTAGGGTCATTAATATTGTTACATGCAAACTATTGTATGTGGCATACTAATTAATTTCTTACTGATGAGAAAATTAGGAGAGTGCTAGGATTAGTGCCTGTTCCTTTCTTCTAATCCTTAAAATTTATAGGATTTTTCTTATTTTAAGGAAAAATAACAAATATATCGTGAAATTTTGCTCTTGACATTCTCCTGTATGAGCATTTGCCTTTTTATTTTCTTTTCCTACTCCACTCTCCTGAGTTTCTTAGAAAAAGTAGTTTTGGTAGACATTTATGTATTTTTTTAGTTGTCACAACTTACATGGCTACTTACTTGACTCTCCTATATTATAGTCTTTACATTTCTTCATAACAAGCACACTTTATTTTCAGGCTTTCTGTTTTTGTTTTTCTGCTTTATAGCAATGTCTTGGAACTTCTCAAATTACCTGGTAGATGTTGAAACCATTCCAGTAAATTTCTTGAGAAAAAACCTTATATTTTATTCTATATTTCACACTACACAAAACATACTACAGATAAGGCAACTCAACACATTTTCTTTAATTGAGCTGTGGTTAGGAAGTAAAATAGAAGGGCTAGATGGGTGAAATATTAACATTTATAGGCCTAGTTGTAACGGTGAAGAGTTGGATAATTGGGTGATTTGTAATAGCAGATTTTTCTTCTCTTCAATTAATATTCTTACTCTCTCCTTTCTTTCTCTTTCAGTTCTTCCTCTCTTGACATTTTCCCATTTAACCTGCTCAACAAACTTTAAGTCTCAGGTAAAATGTCCTGTCCCTCTTCCTCTGCACATATTCAAATTTGTAATGTACTTTTCTTTATCTAAAGTCTTATCACACTTACAGAGAATGCTATACAACTTAATACACACTTACCTGACTTTTGTACTTTGTCTTAGTTGTTTTTGTGAATGTCAACTTGTTAACCAGGACTTCTCTAATTATCCAGCCTCACTTCCCTCACTCTATATAACCTCACAAAATTTTATTTTCTGTATTATATTTATCACTATATAAAAATCTCATTTACTTCTGTATTATCTGTCTCCACAGTCAAGAAGGTGTTGTTCATTAAAGCAAGGATTATGCCTGTCTTGTTCTCTACTGTTTCCCTTAGTGCCTAGAAGAGTGTCTGGATTACAGTAGGATTCAGTGAACACTTACTGAATGAAGGGATGTATAAATGCAGGATGAATGGATCCTGTGTACATAAGAAGATCCAAAGTAGATATTCCTCCTTCCTAGTCTGTCTTAAGGAGCTCTGGTGGCACAGTACTGGTTCAAACCCACCAGCTGCTTCACAGAAGGAAGATGAGGCAATCTACTTCCATAAAGATTTACGACCTTGGAAACCCAGTGGGGGTCGCTATGAGTCTGATTTGACTCGGTGGCAGTGAGCTTGATTTAGTTTGTCTTTGTCTGGAGGCTAGGAAATAGGACCTGGCAATCTGCTTCTGAAACAATTGACCAAAGAAAACCTTATGAATACCAGCAGAACATATTGCCTGATAATACTGCTGTAAGATGAGCTTCTCAGGTTGGACCCTCAGAAGACAATTGAGGAAAAGCTACCTCCTCAAAGTAATGTTCACAGTAACGTATCCATTCATAATCTGAATGGGGAAGTACGAAATATGAATCTAGGAATTTGGAACTCATCAAAAATGAAAAGTAATACATAAAGACTGATATCCTAGGATTAGTGAGCTGAAATGGACTGATACTGGCCATTTTGAATCAGACAACCATATGGTCTGTTATGCCAGGAATGGCAAATTGAAGAGGAATGATATCACATTCATCATCAAAAAGAACATTTCAAGTTCTATCGTGAAGAATAACAATGTCAGTGATAAGACAATATCCAAATGCCTACAAGAAAGACTAGTTAATAGAATTATTACTCAAAATTATACACCAACCACTAAAGCCAAAGAAGAAGAAGTCGAAGATTTTTACCAACTTTTGCAGTGTGAAATTGATCAAACATCCAATGAAGATGCATTAATTACTAATGAATGAAAAAGTTGGAAATGGAGGAAGGATCAGTAACTGGAAAATACAGTCTTGTGACAGAAATGACGTTGGAGATTACATGATTAAAATTTTGCAAGACCAATGACTTCCTTTTTTTTAACAGCACAAATAGAGAACTATACATGTGGACCTCACCATGTAGAATGCACAGGGATCATATCAACTACATCTGTGGAAAGAGACAATGGACAAGCTTAATATCCTTAGAGCAAGGTCAGAGGCCAGCTGTAGAACAGACCATTAATTCTGCATATGCAAGTTC